CAGAATGTTTCTGATCTGGTCTGATCTGATCTGAATCTTTCTGATCTGATCTGAATCTTTCTGATCTGATCTGATTCGAATATTTCTATGATTATAATTATAATTATAATTATAATTATAATTATAATTATAATTATAATTATTATTATTATTATAATTGAAATTACAAATATAATTTAAATAAAATTATAATTATAATTGTAATTATAATTAAAATATTTATCTCTATAATTGTAACTATAGTTATCAATATTATTATAATTACTCCGTAAAATAATTACAATAGTAATAATAATAATAATAATAATAATAATATTAATTATAATAAAAATAATAATTATAATCATAAATTATAATTATAATATAATTATAAGTTTAATTATAATTATTATAATTATAATTAATAATAATTATAATTATATTAATATTAATTATAATATTATAATATAATAATAGTAATATAAATACAATTAATATTATTATAATGATATTATTATATTAATATTATTATTACAATAATATAATAATAATATGATTATTATTATAATTAGTATTATATTATTATAATATTATATTATAATTATAATTATAATTATAATTATAATTATGATTGTAATTATAATTATAATTAATTACAATTATAAATATAATTAATTATAGATATAATTATAATAATTACAATTGATTATACTTATAATTATAAGAATTATAATTGTAATTATAATTATAATTACATATAATTATAATATAATATTTTAATAATATTAATCATATTATTATTATTATAATGTTGTAATAATAATAGTCTTCTTAACAATTGCATTTATATTACTATTATTATATTAAAATATTATAACTATTATTAATATCTTTTTTTATCATATAATTATTAATATTATTAATAATAATTATATAATAATAATCATAATAGTAATAACAATAATAATAATAATAATAATAATAATAATAATAATAATAATAATAATAATAATAATAATAATAATTAATATTTAATATAATAATAAAAGTGATAAATCATGTTTGAACTTTTCTGATCTGATCTGATCTGAATGTTTCTGATCTGATCTGAATGCTTCTGATCTGGTCTGATCTGATCTGAATTTTTTTGATCTGATCTGAATGTTTCTGATCTGGTCTGATCTGATCTGAATGTTTCTGATCTGGTCTGATCTGATCTGAATCTTTCTGATCTGATCTGATTCGAATATTTCTATGATTATAATTATAATTATAATTATAATTATAATTATAATTATAATTATAATTATTATTATTATTATAATTGAAATTACAAATATAATTTAAATAAAATTATAATTATAATTGTAATTATAATTAAAATATTTATCTCTATAATTGTAACTATAGTTATCAATATTATTATAATTACTCCGTAAAATAATTACAATAGTAATAATAATAATAATAATAATAATATTAATTATAATAAAAATAATAATTATAATCATAAATTATAATTATAATATAATTATAAGTTTAATTATAATTATTATAATTATAATTAATAATAATTATAATTATATTAATATTAATTATAATATTATAATATAATAATAGTAATATAAATACAATTAACATTATTATAATGATATTATTATATTAATATTATTATTACAATAATATAATAATAATATGATTATTATTATAATTAGTATTATATTATTATAATATTATATTATAATTATAATTATAATTATAATTATAATTATGATTGTAATTATAATTATAATTAATTACAATTATAAATATAATTAATTATAGATATAATTATAATAATTACAATTGATTATACTTATAATTATAAGAATTATAATTGTAATTATAATTATAATTACATATAATTATAATATAATATTTTAATAATATTAATCATATTATTATTATTATAATGTTGTAATAATAATAGTCTTCTTAACAATTGCATTTATATTACTATTATTATATTAAAATATTATAACTATTATTAATATCTTTTTTTATCATATAATTATTAATATTATTAATAATAATTATATAATAATAATCATAATAGTAATAACAATAATAATAATAATAATAATAATTAATATTTAATATAATAATAAAAGTGATAAATCATGTTTGAACTTTTCTGATCTGATCTGATCTGAATGTTTCTGATCTGATCTGAATGCTTCTGATCTGGTCTGATCTGATCTGAATCTTTCTGATCTGATCTGAATCTTTCTGATCTGATCTGATCTGATCTGAATCTTTCTGATCTGATCTGATCTGATCTGAATTTTTCTGATCTGATCTGATCTGATTTGAATTTTTCTGATCTGATCTGATCTGATCTGAATAAAATAAGAATAAGCAATAAGTAATAAGAATAAGACGAACAGAACAGCACCTTACAGTCCAAGTAAAAACATCCTTATTAATCATAGTGGACATGGCGGTTCAACCATTTCTCTCATTATTTGTGAGTATAATATCTCTAAATCTAACAATTTATTTTTATCTGTCACACATTGTATCATCATCTCAAAAAATATCTGAAGTTTTTTCTGAAACCCTAGATTTAGCATAAAGCTTATATTGATTTTATAATTCTTCAAATGCTGCAAATGGTCCTCCATTCAATTCAAATTGAATTGTGTGATACATAATCAGGATGTGAGATTAGTTTTAATTCAAATTGAATTATGTGTGATACCGTACATCACCCCTTTTCCCGTTTTTTTGTTTGAATTTAGGAAAAAACTAATCTCAGATCCTGAATTGGCATAACACTAAATACAGACAACCTAATTAAGTTTAAAACTATTTAATACTTCTAATATTTTGACCCAGGATCCCCCCCACCAGCTTTTTAATCAAATTTGAGGATATATTTATGACAATGGTGTTAATAATTAAAAGCATTGGTTGATCATTGCATGAGAAGAAGATAACATGGCAGAGTATGATCAACAACATGTACACCATTTGTTGTCATCTAAACATGAATTCATATTATGCTTTCATTTTCAGTTTCTGTACGGTTAAATTTGAGGGATTTAACAAAATAGATGCCTTAGCAGATTGAGGTTTTGTTCCAGGAATGCCAAAGGTACACCTTTGTTGTCATCTAAAAATGAATTCATATCATGTTTTCTTTTTCTGTATGTTATACTAAGGGGGGTTAGAACTCATGGCTGAAGTTAGATACTTTATTTTACAGAAAGAGAAAGAAAAAGAATGTGTGAAAAGTGAGACAAAAGAAGTATAGCTTTTATCCAGGCCAAATTACCAATAAAAGTATAGCTTTTTTGACCAATATGTCCAACAGCCCTCCTTTTTTTTACCAATTTGGTAAGTTGGCCCTTCTATCCATAATGTGAAGGGGTACTGTTTTTCTGGTCTAAAAACAGAATACATGGCTTCAGAATACATTGCTTCAACATTTTTGCGCCTTCTTTGGTGAGTGAAGTCATACTTAAAAAAATTAAAATAAAAGTGTCAAGAAAGGACCAGAGAAAGATGTTGATCTGTTTAGGACCTAAATCTTCGTTGACTTGGTCCAAATATGCCAGCATTTATAGAAACTAAAATTTAAAAATGATTAGTTCTATCATTTGTAGAAGAAAGTTATATTCATTCTGTCTATTTTGTGAATTTGCACCCTTTTTATTCAACCAGAAAACTTTTTGTTATTTTTTCTTTCATTATTTTATTTGGGTGTGATGTAGTGACTCTGTGACTAAGGAGCAAACTTAAAGCTTTTCTTTTTGTAACTATTGTGCTTAACCTGTCTGGACATATGTGCATGGGTTACATCTGAGTAGAATTCAGTCATATGAGATTGATGTAGGACACAACATTAGGGAAACTGAAAGCTAAATGAACACTTCTTCCAGATCATTTTCAAATACACACTAAGGCCTATAATTTAATAACTCTCCCAGACAACTTAAATGTTCCTAATGTTTTAGGACTTATTTTATGTTAGATTTAGTCATTTTTCTGCTATCAATATAATGAACACAACTTTTAAATGTTCATTATATTAAGAGTTTTTAAATGTTCTTAAGGTTTTAGGACTTCTTTTGTGATAGATTTAGTCATTTGTCTGCTATCAATATAACGAACACAACTTTACATTAAGAGTTTTTACTTTTCTGTTATGTATTTGTTATGCATTTTTCATTGTGATTGTCAATATGCATTTCAGCTTCTGAGTTTTTCTCTGCTAATCCGCCCGAGACTATTCCTCCCCATCTTTTACATCCACCTTGAAATCCTGTTTTGACTCAAGTTGAGACTCCACCTTCAATTCCTGCTTTGACTCAAGTCGAGACTCCACCTTCAAATCCTGCTTTGACTCAAGGAAGTGTTCACCCCACTGAAGATCCATCTGCTCCCAGCCATCACTGAGTGAGTTGTTACGGTTATACTCCGTTATTATTTATTTTACTTCCTCCTTCCTAGGTTTGCCAAGTAATGGGAACATGCGTCTCTTCTCATTACTACGTTAAGAATTCATAGCCCAAGAAGATATTTTTTAAAGAAAAAATCTGCAATTTTTCCTCTATTTCCAGTTTTAGGTTTAAACTAGCATGTTTAGTCAAACAGATTTCTTAATTTCTAATAAAGAAAGTGATCATTTGGATGCAAACAGAAACGGTTAATTTGAAGTTGAACATTGTGATATCTCAAAATTTACAGCAACTGTATCAAATGGTTTCCCTTTGAGAATGGTTTGGTCTGAATATATATTGTAATGGTCCATTAAAACTTTGTGATATCTAAACATTTCCTCTGAGTTATATTACTCTTGCGAAACTATAAGCATTTTAGTTTTAATCAAACCTGCTTATACATAAGTTTTTTGAAATTCTTGATTTGCTCCCCATGTTAATTTTTACACTTTAATTTATATTAAGTTAATTGTTGAACACAATTGCGACTTTTGGTTTTATTTCAAGGGTCTTTTTTCACACATATTATGTAACTCTTTATTCTTTAATTCTCAAAGCCCTTATCTATGATTCTTTCTTTTACAACTCTCACAAGTAAAACAAAATACGAAAAAAAAGAATTCTTCCCAATTTATTAAACAAACATTCAGTTTCCTTATTCCTTATTCCAAGATTCATGTCACCTCCACATTTAGTTTCAGTCTACCTCTCGGTGGTCGCTTCCAGAGAGCTCCCTCTCGTCTTCCAACTTCCTGCCCAGAACCTCCCCAGTGCACTTGCTGTCCTCTTGTTTGTTAAAGGTATTTGCCACACTTGAGCATTTCTGCCTTCCCAAATTCCCCAACACAGCAACACCAAAATGCACCAGTCCTCCTTACTACTCCGCTCAAAAATTGCTTGCACCCATTTTAGGAAATCTGTAGCAGAAACTGCTATCCCTCCCCAACCCACCTGAGACCAAATAGTGGTGGCGCACAGACATGAAACAAAGAGATGCAATGATTTTTCCATTGCCTCCCCACACATGCCTTCAAGAGGACAAGCCACCCTTCTGCTGTGTAACGCATCCCTCAACAGGAGACACCCACTACAGAGCTGCCAGAAGAAGCACTTGACCTTCGGCGGGAGTTTCAGCCTCCACATAGCAGTCCAGCACATCCAACCATCTCCTGAAAGCTCTCCAGTAACTCTGCGGTAACAGCTCTTCACTGTGATAGTTGAACTGTCATAGTTGGAAAAAGAGATCTGCTAATACCGAATTAAAAAACTCTAGAGTAATTACAATTTTAAAAAAAAAGCACTAAAGTATATTAATACACTTGCTCCCAACCTTTTGCCACTTTTGGTGGTTTCATTCGGCTAAATTACATGATGAAGATTCTCTTTCTTCATTGAAATTATATGGTCATAGGATTTTCATGGGTTGGCGGTAGCAGGAGCGCATTTCCTGAGTGTCGTCCGGGTCTCTGAGCCTCTGAGGAATGTTATTATATGTTGGCTGAGGTACTTACTATCTGAGCTCTTTTTTGCACAAGTAACCTAAAAAAGGTTTACCTTAATTTTATGATTGAAAGTAATCAGACTCTTCTCTGCAGTGTAAAATTATAGTAGTAATTCCTGAATTATTTCTCTGATTTGTTTAATGCAGTTTGGTTATATATGCAAATAAAAAATCTTATAAATGAGGACAGTGTATGAAAGTTTCATAGCTGTAAAAAGTGTATTATTCTCATGTTTGGTTTTTTCCTCGAAAAATGCAAATTAAAAACTGTGATGGGAAAGCAAGTTTTTTGGAGCAAGCTTGTTCTCTCTTTTCCCACCATTTCAATGAATACTTAATTGTATCATGATAACCAAGTTAGTTCATGAAAAAGTCAATAGAACAATATTTTTCTCATTCACCGTCATATAGCCCCTGCCCTAAGGGTTATGGTTAGTTAGTCCACTCATTTTTTTCTTTGTGAAGGTTGATAAGTGTATGGCTAGTTTGGAAGAGCTGCAGTACACAGTGAAAGGAAGGGGTAGGGGGATGAGTTCTGGAGTGGGTCTTAGCCCTAGAAGGACTAACCATAGGTGTAAACAGGAATCTCTCAGGTACCCACAACATTGTCAATAACAACCTGCAACTTTCTTGATTTTAGTTCTTCATACTACGTACTCCACGTATAAAAACATCCAGTTCTCCTATATATTTTTTGAGAAATCTCTTAAGTTGGTGGTGTTTTTTCTTTCTTCACAATCCAAGGATCAGGAATGCTACTTCTAACAAGTCTCCCCAAGGAAAGCTGCCTATAAATGCAGGTATTGTAATTTATGGTTAAGCATATAGTTCATGATACAGTTAAGTATACAAAGGAAGCTAGTCACACTTGTCTCATTTGTTAATCTGAAAAAGACACTTAAAAACTCTATTAACACTTAAAATGATCAGCACTTCAGCAATGTTTATCGTTGGTGTCTGTTAGCAATATGGGTCATAATATATTATCAGTGTCACAACCAAATAAACTTGATGACCATCAAACATTTTTCTCTACCACTGCAAAAAAAAAAACACATGTTCAATTTATACTGGAATGGACTGCAAGTGTGAAATTGTGATGCAATTTTTTCTACTTAGATACTAGGTTTTCATCTTCTATATTGATAATTGATGATACAAGAGCATCAAATCTATTCTAATCCTACCACTACATTCGCCTTAATCAAAATTGACTAGAATTGCAAGTGAAAATTTGAGCATCTATAGATAGGAAAAAACCTCCGTAATATGGCCGCCAGTAAACCCAGGAGGAGGCAACCACGACGACACACCTGCGTATCAGGCAAACTTCAGCAGTTCAGCAGCGCCTCGTGAAGTTTTTCCGATCGTTGGTTCTTCTTCGTCAATTTGTTGCCTGCGGTTCAATTGTACCGTCAAAACTAATTGCTTCCTCCGTCTAGTTGTACAGTCAAAACAGGGACCGATTGATAAATAACAGACTTTTATCTACGTGTTTAAATAATCTGTATGTCCGAATTCTATTGGCCCAGCAAGGCGGAGGTACGGTACACTCAAAAAAATGAGAGGTACCGTAGAAATTCTCAATTTTTTTTCTTATTCTTAGTATGAGAGATTACAATTACACGTGTACAATTGTAGTTCTCATAATGGGTAATAGTAATAATAATAATAATACTAATACTAATAATAATAATAATAATAGTAATAATAGTAATAATAGTAATAATAGTAATAATAGTAATAATAGTAATAATAATAATAATAATAATAATAATAATAATAATAATAATAATAATAATAATAATAATAATAATAATAATAATAATAATAATAATAATAATAATAATAATAATAATAATAATAATAATAATAATAATAATAATAATAATAATAATAATAATAATAATAATAATAATAATAATAATAATAATAATAATAATAATAATAATAATAATAATAATAATAATAATAATAATAATAATAATAATAATAATAATAATAATAATAATAATAATAATAATAATAATAATAATAATAATAATAATAATAATAATAATAATAATAATAATAATAATAATAATAATAATAATAATAATAATAATAATAATAATAATAATAATAATAATAATAATAATAATAATAATAATAATAATAATAATAATAATAATAATAATAATAATAATAATAATAATAATAATAATAATAATAATAATAATAATAATAATAATAATAATAATAATAATAATAATAATAATAATAATAATAATAATAATAATAATAATAATAATAATAATAATAATAATAATAATAATAATAATAATAATAATAATAATAATAATAATAATAATAATAATAATAATAATAATAATAATAATAATAATAATAATAATAATAATAATAATAATAATAATAATAATAATAATAATAATAATAATAATAATAATAATAATAATAATAATAATAATAATAATAATAATAATAATAATAATAATAATAATAATAATAATAATAATAATAATAATAATAATAATAATAATAATAATAATAATAATAATAATAATAATAATAATAATAATAATAATAATAATAATAATAATAATAATAATAATAATAATAATAATAATAATAATAATAATAATAATAATAATAATAATAATAATAATAATAATAATAATAATAATAATAATAATAATAATAATAATAATAATAATAATAATAATAATAATAATAATAATAATAATAATAATAATAATAATAATAATAATAATAATAATAATAATAATAATAATAATAATAATAATAATAATAATAATAATAATAATAATAATAATAATAATAATAATAATAATAATAATAATAATAATAATAATAATAATAATAATAATAATAATAATAATAATAATAATAATAATAATAATAATAATAATAATAATAATAATAATAATAATAATAATAATAATAATAATAATAATAATAATAATAATAATAATAATAATAATAATAATAATAATAATAATAATAATAATAATAATAATAATAATAATAATAATAATAATAATAATAATAATAATAATAATAATAATAATAATAATTACATTTAAATATCAATTCAATAAATCACAACACTTAGTTATAAATTGTTTAAGGACCATGCAAAAATAATACTTGAGATTTATTTTTCAATAAATTTCCAACAATCCTCCTCCATTTATTGAAAAATAAGCATGCTCAATCCTTGCCAAATAGACCACTTATCAAGACTTATGCATAATTGAAAGTGTCTTAAAGATTGAACTTTCATTTAGTGCAATATTCTTTACAATATTTCGTAGGGGTGGGCAATTCGGTTTACGTTTCGTTTTTCTTCAGTTTCGGTTTATTCGGGTTGGGAGACATTGTACCAAATTAAAACCATTTGTTTTTCGGTTCGGTTTCGGTTCGGTTCGGTTCCGGTTCGGTTCGGTTTGAAGTTCGGTTTACCAAAGTAAAAAATACGTAGTATTATGTTTAATTTAGTTTGATTTGAAACGTTTGTTTATGTTTATTTTATTTGATCAAGTTCTATATTTCGAATTAGAAAATGAAAGTAGTAGTCCATCTCATCTTTTTTTAATTTATTGATTATTTAAATAAAATGTAAAAAGAAAATTAAGGATAGAAAAATAAATAATAAAATATTATAAATTGAAACTTCTAACATCTTTTTATCGCTACAAAAAATTCACTTCTTACAAAAAATAAGATAGTTGATTTGCATTTATAATATCACATAAAATATTCATAAAACCTAAAAGAGTCGGTGGTACAAATGTTGTAATATTCACAATTTTATTCAAATGAATCATGTAAAATTATAAATGCAATTTTCTAGTGTTATCGCCAAACATAATAAATACAAATATGTCGTATTAGCTAACTTTATCACAATGAATGTATGAAATGTGTAAAAGTTAAAATGATATGAGTATATGCTTAAATATATGTATTTTCATGTCTAAATTATTTATTTATATCTTAAAAATGAAGAGTCATGAAGGTAAATACAAAGTGTGTGTGTGTTGTTTGGTTCGGTTTACGGTTTTCCGTTTTAAACCAAACCAAAGTACCAAAACATTCAGTTTGAGCAAATGTTTACCAAACAGTTTACTTAAGTAAACCTAAACCAAACCAAATCAAACCACCAATTTTAATAATATATGAAAGTTTTTGGAGTTTCTTTAGTTCGATTCGGTTTTTTTTCGGTTTGTATCGGTTTCGGTTCGGTTCGGTTTAATACTGTTTGAAAGAAATAGTACCAAACTCAAACCAAATTGCATACGGTCCGGTTTCGATTCGGTTTAGTTCGGTTTGGTACGGTTTGGTTAAACCAACAACGTTATGACACGATCAATTGCTTTCAATTCACTACACAACACACTTCATTAATACATTCATTTACTGCTCATGTACAACATTATCTATTGCCATATATATTCACTCCCGATATTCAACCATATCTATTGCTCCATGTTCACTGTCTATATTGAATGCCCATGTTTAATGCTTACAAATTCTAATTTCAATAAATCCCAATTTCAAATATAGAAAGGAAGAATGAGAATGGAGACGGGTGGCTAGGCGGCGGCGATGAGTTGGAGTGCAGCTGTGCGGATGCAAAATGGAGGAGATGGCTGCGGCCTGGAGACGACGGCGGCGCGCCATGGGGACGGCCGCAACGAGCAGACGTGAAGACGGCTGCGACTGCGGCTACAGGTAGGCGGTAAGACATGGGGCGGGGAGGTGCCGCGACATGGTGATGGCTGTGGCATGGAGACGGCGGCGGTTGTGGGTAGGCGGAAGCATGTGGACGGCTATGGCGATGGTGGAGTAGGTGCCATGGCGATGGTGGAGTAGGTGCCATGGCGATGGTGGCAGCGGGTGCCGCAGCGATGGGTGCGGCTGTTGCTGCGGCAATTACTGGTGGCTAGGGTTTTGAGAAAATGAGTAGAAAGTTAGGGGTTTAACATTATTTATTTATTTATTAATTAAATATTACGAATTTAAGTATTATTTTAGGAAAAAACTAATAAGGTCATACATCGGGAAAATAAATGAAATTTAGTCATACCTAGAATAATTTTCTCCAATTAACAATATCTCGTACTTCATATGTTTTATCAAATGTAGGATGTGTCTACTTGTACACATCATTTGTACATAGTTGTTGTACACACTATCCAGGGACGGATTTAAGGGGGGCGGGGGGCGACCGCCCCCCTTCGACTTTCAAAATTTTCTACTATGTTTGTTATATTTTCATACTTTAATTAGATTTATATGTTTTCACCCCCCTTAACTTTTAGTTTTCAAAATTAATATATAACATTACATAATGTAATATATAATTGGAGATTTGAAAAAGTAACAGCTAAATAATTTACATAACTTAAATGAATAAACAATAACACTACTCATTGTTTAAGACATAGGATACCTATCTATATAATATAATAAAGCAAACTCCTAAAGACTGGGAAAGAGTGGAGGAGTTATCGTGGAAGGGGAAAGGTTGTAGGGAGAGAAAGAGGTGAAGAGAAAAGGAGGAAGTGAATGCTAAGAGTGGAGTTTTGGAAGACTTAAATATTCGCCTCGCTATATTGAATGAAAATTAACTGCAGAGCCCTATGCTAGCGAAACAAATTCGCCCCGCTACAGTAGCGATTTTTTTCACCCCCTATAGTAACGAAAAAATTTCGCCCCCCTTGATTCAAAATCCTGGATCCGTCCCTGACACTGTCCAATTGTCTATGTTTGCGCGAGCTTCTCAACGAGGTGCATGTGTATGTACACATGCAACTAAAGGTTGTCCATAACAAATGGCTACACATACATACATACGGAGTAGTATTTATTTTTGTCTGTCCCATATGTACTAAATTAGGTAGGTCGATGTACTTGCATGGCCCATGCAAGTTAATTGGTACCCTTTCTCATACATGTGAATTATTGACAAGCTTACATGTGCCATGTAAATTAGTTTTTCACGTAGCTATCAATACTTGATTGATATTTTGATCCATCTTTTGTTTCTATATACGGAGTACTCCGTAGTATTTATTTTTGTCTGTCCCATATGTACTAAATTAGCTAGGTCGATGTTCTTGCATGGCCCATGCAAGTTAATCACTTAATTGGTACCCTTTCTCATACATGTGAATTATTGACAAGCTTACACGTGCCATGTAAATTAGTTTTTCACGTAGCTATCAATACTTGATTGATATTTTGATCCATCTTTTGTTTCTATATAAATTAAGAAAAAATAATAATCTCAATTATTATCGGTACGTCCGTCGTTAATAATTCTAACTAACGATTTTTTTGGGTGGCATGATCCCAACTATAGGGTCCATTTTTTAAAAAATAGTCTCTAACCTTTTACAACATGATGTAGCAGGTCATTTTTAAATGTGAATTATGTGTTAGCTTTTAATAATCCCAACTATAGTTGACCTTTTGAAGTTAATCCCCACTACCAACTCCCAATTTTTGAAAAATGTAGAATTATTTTTAGAAATAATTACATAAATATGACCAAAATAAAGATGATTTACAAAAATATGACTAGTGACTAGAGTAGTAATGAAATCATAGTAATTCATATTTAAGTTTTGAGCTTAAGTTACCACAACACCACATTGTAGTAATGAATAGTCATAATTATGTAAATATGTTTTATTTTAGTAATATTCTTGTAAAAAACCCAAGTATTATAAATTTCTAAACTGAATATTTTTAGCATGAAAAATTAATTACTAAAATTCTACGAATGTACCGAAATTATATAAAAAAATTAGTAATTTTTTATTTATTTTATAAAAATATATTTTTTTTCCTTTTTCCAATTTGTTTCTCACTGTTGTGTTACCAATTTATGATTTTGTATTATTTTTCTTTATTCAAATTTACATTTTCTATTTTCAAAAAGTAAATTGTCATTACAATTTTTACAATTTTGATCTTTATTCTAGCTTAATCTAAAAATCTGAATTTTCTATTTATTCTATTTTATTATTTTTAATTTCTATCAATGTGAAAATGTGAATACCTTGAAATGATGATATAAAAATGTTTACTAAAATGTTTACCAAAATTCCACACTTTTTCTACCAAAATAGTTGGGATTATTATTACCATTGTGATTTGTGATATACTTTTTCTACATTTTTAAAATTTTCATTATATCACTTAAAATTTTAATAATATTAATACAATTTCATTAAAAATATTCAAAACCTCCAAACCCTATACCCCAAATCACTTAAATTAAATGACAAACTATACTACCCCCTTAACATTTATATCTTCCCATTTTAAAGTAGATGAAATTAAGAATATGTAGTGAAAGAGATATAAATAATTAAGGGTATATGATGGGAAGATATTGAAATAGTGTGCCGAAATATAATAAAGGATAAATTAAAAATGTAGGTGTAATGGTATATTATTTTCAAAAATATCAAGGGTATGATGGGAAGATTTATAAATGAGAAGATCAGTCTAGATATAAATGTTGCGGTTGAAAAAGGAAAGCGGGAAGGTATGAATATCACGGAGGGAGTATAATATGATTTATAGAATATAATAATATAAAATAAAGAAAATAGAAAGAAATAGTCAGAAATACTAAAATGGAAAAATAGAAAATTAAGAATTTCAGATTTAAGATAGCAAAAAAAATCATTATTTACTTTTTGAAAACAGAAAATGTAAATTTGAATAAAGGAAAACAATACAAAATCATAAATTTGTAACACAGTTGGGAAAAATAAATTGGACAAAAAAGGAAAAAATAAAAATTTTAGTGAAAATAAATCATAAAATGACTAAAATTATTTTATTTAACTTCGGTGCATTTTTATAATTTTTGTAGTTGTTTTTACATGTTTAAAAATATTTAATTTGGAAGTTTATAAAAATATTTCTACATCTTCTGAAAATTGATAGTTGATAGTTGGGATTAATTATTAAAGATCAACTATAGTTGGGATTACTAAAAGCTAACACATAGTTCACAATTAAAAATGACCTGCTATATCAGTCTGTATCAAGTTAGGGACTATTTTTAAAAAATGGTCCAATAGTTGGGATCACACAAAAATAATTGATAGTTGGAATTATTAAAAGGGGATGAGCAATAGTTGAGGTTTTTATTTTCCCCAATAGTTGTAAATTATCAAGCATAAGGAGTAGTCGTATGTTCTGCTTGTCTTCTACTTTGATCATAATAGCAAATAAGTAAAACGGGCTCGTGGGCATGGGGATAATGGAAGAAGAAGTTGTTTTGAACGGGGGGAATAAGTTTATTATGTATGATGGTGATAATGATGATTAGTATGGCGGCGGCGGTATTGGGTTTGGGTTATGTTGGGAGGAAGCTGGTGATGATATGGAAGAAGGCCGGTGGTCGGAATAATGTGAACCCGACAAACTGGCCGGTGGTCGGAATGCTGCCGGGCATCATACAAAATGTGAGCCGCATCCACGAATTTGTGGCGGATATTCTAATAGAAAACGGCGGCACATTCGAAATGAAAGGGTCTTGGCTCTTTCCTAACCTCAACTTTTTCCTGACCTGCGACCCAGCAAACATCAACCACATCTTCTGCCAGAACTTTAAGAACTACCCACACGGCCCCCATTTAAAGAGAATCTTCGACGACGCTTTCGGGGAAGGGATCATCAACACCGACAATGAGCTCTGGGAGCTTCACAGGAAGACCACGACTCCCATCATGAACAATCTCAGGGCCCGCGCCCTCTTGGAGAAAAAGGTGGCTGATAAGATCCGGCACGGGCTGCTCCCGCTTCTCGAGCGTCACGTGCAGAAGCGGGACGCCTTGGAGATGAAGCAGGTTTTCTGGCAGATGACCTTTGACATCGCCTGCATCCACTTGCTGGACAAGGATCCCTGCACCCTTGGCATCACCAAGGATGACGACAACCCATTTCTCAAGGCGCTGCGGGAAGGGTTCAACGCTCTTCTGTACAGGAATTTTCTCCCGGAGTGGAGTTGGAAGCTGCAGAAATGGGTGTTTGGGGTTGATAGAGAGGAGAAGCTGACTCGCGGCTGGAAGATTTTTGACCACTTCATAAACCCAATCCTTTCCCACAGAATACAGCAAAACCAGTTAAACAACAACGGATCCAATAGTAATTTCAGCATCTTGCTTTCGCACATCAATGCACACCAAGGAATGAGTCCCCAATTTCTAACAGATACCGTCCGCACTTTGGTTCTTACTGGCTCAGAGAGTACAGGTATGCGTGTACTCTTTCCATCCCGATTTAAAATCTAGTAATCAGCCTAAAAAGGACTAAAACTTGTCTCAAAAATCACAAATAGGACTATAGTCCGAAATTATTCACAAATACAACTACACATTAAATTTGTACCCTAAATACCCCTAAATATATTAATTTTTGAATTGTTTTAATTCATAATAAAAGGGTAAAAAACTTCTAGTTAGGTAAATAAGGAATATAGGCCAAAAAGGACATTAAGGTTATTTAAGAAGTTCAAATTAGACACTAAGCTTTTAAGTGGACCAAATAGACCCAAAATCCACCTTTTACAAGTATCAACACATTTGGACACTGTCAACACGGCACTTGTTGGGTTCTTTCTTTATTTTTGACCCATGAGGAAAGCCCAACTCTTGAGCCCATCAAAAGTCTTCTTTGACTTTCTATTTTGGGAGCTAATATTAAAAACAGGGTCTGCCATCTATCTATTACTCATGGACAGAAAGAGAGCAGTAGATAAGTGAGAACAATCACAAAACATGAGCTGAAGTGTGCTCATCCCGTTTTTCCAGCAGGCAGCAGCAGAAAACTTCCGTTTCCCGGAGATTGAACCGTTGGATCGTCGTGATTTTTGGACAGTAGCTTCACAGCATCTGAGCCAACATTCTGGACGGTGGAGATCGGGTTTTGAGGTCCGGAGGTCGGGTTTCGTTGGTCTGGACAGTAGCTATTTTTCTGGTGATATTTTTCTTATCTTGGCTCTATTTGATTCCATACACCTTGATGTGCTTACTTCCAAGGATATGATGATTTTGTATGCCTCTAGTATTATCTAGAGAAGACTTTGTACTGCTCCTTTGATGATGATAGTGGATTTAAGCGGCCAAAATGGTCCCGTGGTTTTTCCCTAGTTAACGGGTTTTCCACGCTAAAATTCCGGTGTTTTTGTGTGGTGTGTGCTTACTGTTTTAGCTCACTATATTGGTGTGTGGCAGCAACTTGTGTGTGTTCTAATTGCATTAAGAACACCCTATTTGTTTGCATCCTCAAAGATTCATTCAAGTTGGGGAAAGTTTAGCCAAACGGAGATTAATTCCGCATTTTATTAGTACCGTTTGTGGCTGTTTTTCCCATCAAATTGGTATCAGAGCCGAGTTCTTCTGTATTGGGTTAGACTTGTTTGAATGATGGAAGCAAACACAAGTAGGATGATCAATTTGAATGGTTCTAATTATCATGTTTGGAAAGGAAAAATGGAAGACCTACTTTATGTGAAGGATTATTATTTGCCTGTGTTTACTACTGATAAACCTGAGAGTAAAACAGATGCAGAGTGGAATATTTTGCATAGACAGGTTTGTGGGTATATTCGCCAATGGGTTGATGATAATGTTTTGAACCATATTAGCGGGGAAACTCATGCTCGCAGTTTGTGGAACAAGCTTGAACAGTTGTATGCTCGAAAGACCGGGAACAATAAATTGTTCTTAATAAAACAGATGATGAGCTTGAAATACCATGATGGAACTCCTGTCACTGATCATTTGAATTCTTTTCAGGGAATCATAAATCAACTTGCAGGAATGGGTATCAAGTTTGAAGATGAGATACAAGGCTTGTGGCTCCTTGGCACTTTACCGGACTCATGGGAGACTTTTAGGACATCATTGTCCAACTCTGCACCAGATGGTATTATCACCATGGAGTTAGCTAAAGGCAGTGTTTTAAATGAAGAGATGAGAAGAAAGTCACAAGGTTCCTCTTCACATTCTGATGTCTTAGTTACAGAAAGCAGGGGGAGAAGTCAAAGTAGAGGTCCAGGTAACAAAGGGAAGCATCGAAGTAAATCCAAAGGAAAGTTTGCTGATTTTGAGTGCTATCATTGTGGTAGAAAAGGGCACACAATACGATTCTGCAGGCAATTGAAAAAGGAGAAGAAGAAGAGCGATTACAACAATCAAAAGAACCATAAGAAAGATGAGGGTGGTAATGGCAATGCTGAAGTTAACAGTGCTACCGATGAGTTCCTTATTTGTTCTGATCTTGATATGGTCAACATTGCACATGATGATTCCAGTTGGGTTGTTGATAGTGGTGCTACTTGTCATGTAACATCACAGAGGGATTTTTATTCATCTTACACTCCAGGTAACTTTGGTAATGTTAGGATGGGTAATAATGGACTATCAAAGATTGCAGGCATCGGAGATATTTGTTTGAAGTTTGACACTGGGATAGAGTTGGTTTTACATAATGTAAAACATGTTCCAGATATGAGACTTAATTTGATCTCCGCAGGCTTACTTGATGATGATGGTTACAGCAACAACTTTGGTAATGGAATATGGAAACTCACTCGTGGTTCTTTGATCGTGGCTAGAGGTAAAAGATGCTCAAAGTTGTACATGACACATCCGAAGATCTTCAAGGATAGGGTCAATGCTGTGGTGAACACTGACATGACTGATTTATGGCATAAGAGACTTGGTCACATGAGTGAAAAGGGGATGTCTCTTTTGTTGAAGAGAAATGTGTTACCGGGTGTGCATGATATTCATCTAAAGAAGTGTTCTCACTGTTTGGCAGGTAAACAGAACAGGGTCTCCTTTAAGAGCCATCCTCCTTCCAGGAAGGAGAGTATACTTGATTTGGTGCATTCTGATGTTTGTGGTCCTATGAAGACTAGGACACTTGGTGGTTGCTCCTACTTTGTCACATTCATTGATGATCACTCCAGAAAGGTATGGGTTTATACCTTGAAATCTAAAGATCAAGTATTTGAGGTGTTTAAGCAGTTTCATGCCTCGGTTGAGAGACAGACTGGAAAGAAGCTCAAGTGTATTCGGACAGATAATGGAGGGGAATACATTGGCCCCTTTGATGCTTATTGTAGAGATCATGGTATTCGACATCAAAAGAGTCCTCCCAAGACACCGCAGCTGAACGGATTAGCAGAGCGGATGAACAGAACTTTGATGGAGCGTGTCAGATGTTTGTTGTCACATGCAGGGCTGCCAAATTCATTCTGGGGAGAAGCTTTGAATACAGCGGTACATGTTATTAATCTAACTCCTTGTGTTCCTTTGTCTTTTGATGTACCTGACAGGGTTTGGAGTGGCAAAGATGTTTCTTACCGTCATTTGAGGGTCTTTGGATGCAAAGCTTTTGTGCACATTCCTAAAGATGAAAGATCAAAGCTTGATGTGAAGTCCAAACCATGTGTTTTCTTGGGTTATGGCCAAGATGAGTTTGGTTACAGATTATATGATCCAGTCCACAAGAAACTTATTCGAAGCCGAGATGTTGTGTTTGTGGAAGATCAAACCTTGAAAGATGCTGAGAAGAAAGATACAGTTCCTCAACATAATGATGATGTTACTGATTTGGATCCAGTGCCTCCTCAGCATGTAGAACCACCTCTTGATAATGATGTTCAGAATGATGAACAACATGATACTGATGTTCCAGAACAGCCAGAGGTGGATGAAGAATTTCATTCAGAGATACCAGTACCAGACGTGCCACCATTTGTCCCACTTAGGCGGTCTACAAGAGATCGTCATCCTTCCACCCGTTTTTCAGCTAATGAGTATGTCTTACTCACTGATGGGGGAGAGCCTGAGTGTTATGCAGAGGCCATGGAAGATGAGCATAAAAGGGAGTGGGTTGAAGCCATGCAAGATGAGATGAATTCCTTACATGAAAATAATACATTTGAGTTGGTGAAGTTGCCTAAAGGCAAGAGAGCTTTGAAGAACAAGTGGGTCTACAAAGTGAAGACTGAAGAGCACACCTCACAACCTAGGTACAAGGCTAGATTGGTGGTCAAAGGGTTCAGTCAGAGAAAGGGTATTGATTTTGATGAGATTTTCTCTCCGGTCGTGAAGATGGGATCTATTCGTGTTGTTCTGGGTTTGGCAGCCAGCCTTGATCTTGAGGTTGAACAGATGGATGTCAAAACAGCTTTCCTTCACGGTGACTTGGATAAAGAAATCTACATGGAGCAACCTGAAGGGTTTCAGGTTAAGGGAAAAGAAGGTTATGTGTGTAGACTTCAAAAGAGTCTTTATGGGTTGAAGCAAGCACCAAGACAGTGGTACAAGAAGTTTGAGTCAGTTATGGGGGAGCAAAATTACCGAAAGACTACTTCAGACCATTGTGTTTTCTTCCAGAGGTTTGATGATGATGATTTCATTATTTTATTGTTATATGTTGATGACATGTTAATTGTTGGCAAGAATGCAGAAAGAATTACTCAGCTGAAGATGCAATTGAGCAAGTCTTTTGCTATGAAAGACTTGGGGCCAGCAAAACAGATTCTTGGCATTCGGATCACTCGAGATAGAGCTTTGAAGAAGCTACACATGTCACAGGAGCAATACATTGAGAAGGTGCTTCGCAGATTCAACATGGACAAAGCTAAAGAGGTTAGTTCACCTCTTACTACCAACTTCAGGTTGACAGATAAAGATTGCCCATCTTCTGAGAAGAAGATTGAAGAGATGGATAGAGTTCCTTATGCCTCAGCTGTAGGGAGTTTGATGTATGCTATGGTGTGCACACGGCCTGATATTGCCCATGCAGTAGGTGTTGTTAGTCGTTTTCTGTCAAATCCAGGTAAGAAGCATTGGGAAGCAGTGAAGTGGATTCTCAGATATCTACGTGGTACTTCCAAATTGGGTATAACATTTGGAAATGGGAAGCCAGTACTTGTTGGTTATACTGATTCTGATATGGCAGGAAATAAGGACAACATGAAATCCACTTCTGGATATTTGATGACTTTTGCAGGGGGAGCTGTGTCATGGCAATCGAGACTGCAAAAGTGTGTGGTTTTATCCACCACCGAGGCTGAGTATGTGGCTGCAACAGAAGCTTGTAAGGAGCTATTATGGCTTAAAAGGTTTATGCAAGAGATTGGCTTTATGCAACAACGCTATGTGGTTCTTTGTGATAATCAAAGTACCATTCACCTTGCTAAAAATTGTATGTTTCACAAACGAACCAAACATATT